GACCTAGGCATGTGCCCTGACAGGGAATGGAACCCGCGACCTCTGAACCTGCCCGAGGAGGGGGTGACGCTTCATCCAACGCAGCCACACTGCCAGGGCATCTTGGTGCATTTTTAAAAGCCCTCTTAGATGTTTGAGAATGCCTACATGGAACAAAACCAAAATCCATGAAACATGGTCACCCGACCTCTTAATCTTTAGGGAAAAACTTCCTTTAAACTAGAGCTCCAAAAATTGCGGCGGTGGCTCTGGAGCAGCTCTACCCTGCCCCTGAGCGGAAGTGCATGAAAACGGAAACTCCCCGGGCAGGCTGAGCTGTCGATCAAGCCTTATTCCCAGCTCAGAGCCATAGGCTGTGCCTCCTCGCTCCTCACGAAGTGTATTATTCTCCAAGCTGGATCATCCAACACACAAAGTCTATGAAAACTTGTGAAAGCACTACACTATAAGGTAAAAATAATTGTGGAAGTACTTTACAATGTCGTATACACAACTGTAAGTGTTAGGCAAAAGGAGTGTTGCCCCAGTTTTCTACCTGGTGGCACATTCTGAACCAGGGATCCAGAAAGAGCGTCCCATGTAGAACAAAGTTGAGTTGAGGGGACAGAGATTAAGTTTAGGGGAGGCTGAGGCAGCTGGAAGTTGTGCGGCAAAGTTCAAAAGAGGAGGAAGCTATCTGTAGGTGAAAAGCTCCAAAATCTGCATAGATATCCTTTTGAGACTTTGTTGAGCACTAAGGTGTGCATTCATTGGATGAAGGCATCATAAGGTAAGACAATGAATAAGGAGATGTAGTAATTCTCAAAGGAGGTGGAGATGCTTGAGAACCAGCCAGAGGGGAAAAGTCTTTCTTAATCACAAGGGGCATTCCGTTGAGAACTCAGAGAAGTTATACCTTAGTAGTAAAGCTAAGCTATCATAAATGAAAAGAACTGTATACTTACGATAACAAAGTTTACAAGTCTCAAAATACCAAGCTGACCTACAAGAAACATAATTTGCCTGCTCAAACAGGGCCCCCACTCTTTAAGGGAAGACTATGAAATCCAAATACCCAACATTGTGAAATTCATAATGTCCTGCATCCAATAGAAAAATAACTATACAGGCCCCCAAACAGGAAAATATGACCAATAAACCAGGAGAAAAATCAGTCAATAGAAACAGATAGTAAATGACAGAGATGAGGGAATTAACAAATCAAGGTGTTAAAACACCTACTATAACTATGTGTTTAAACAGTGATTGTGTTCAAGTAGCCCTTATTTTACTTAATAATGATTATAAAGCACAAGAGTAGTGATGCTGGCAATTCAGATATGCCAAAGAGAAGCCTTAAAATGCTTCTGTTAAGTGAACAGGAATGTATATAGGAGAAAAAATAGTATATATATTATATACTATCCACAGTGTCAGACATCCACTGGGGGTCTTGGAACATGTCTTTCACCCCCCTCCACAAGGAGAGGACTACTGTACTGAGTGTCATGAAAGGCTGCCAGTTCTTTTTTGTTTGTTTTTTTAAAATATATCTTTATTGATTTCAGAGAGAGGAAGGGAGATGGAGAGAGAGAGAGAGAAACATCAATGATCAGAGTTGTCACTGATTGGCTGCCTCCTGCACACCCTCAACTAGGGATGGAGCCTGCAACCCAGCATGTGCCCTGACAGGGAATCGAACCTAGATCTCTTGGATCCTAGGTTGATGCTTAACCACTGAGCCACACCTGGCTGGGCAATGCTGCCAGTTTTGAGTGGCACCTGGAGGAGAAAAGCACTCAGTAGCAGACAGGCTGGATACAGAATCGGTGGGGTCCAATGTGAAGTAAAAATGTAGGGCCCTTTGTTAAAAAAAAAAAAAAAGGCAGGAAAAAAAATGCCACTGAAGGCACTAAAATATAAAGCCTTTAAAAAAATATATTACTTACAAAAAGCAATGAGGGTTATAGTGATACATGAGTAACACCATAATCTTACAAAGTACAAAAAATATTGTGTTATAATTTATATAATACAATAAATAATGATGCCTTATTAATGTGATATCTTGATTAATTATATGATTTTTCTGGCTTGCTTTCCTGAAAATTTATTTCTTAAGCCATCAAAATGTATACTTTCAGTGACTTCATTTATTTATTTATCCTCACCCAGGAATATGTTTATTGATTTGTGAGAGAGAGAGAAAGAGAGAGAGAAACATCGATCAGTTGCCTCCCACACTCACCCCGACTGGAGATCGAACCCATAACCTAGGTATGTGCCCTGACCGGGAATCAAACCCACAACCTTTTTCTGGTGTATGGGACAATGCTCCAACCAACTGAGCCACCCGGCCAGGGCGTGACTTCATTTTTAATTGATATAGTCAAAAGCAACGTCAGTTGCTCTTGGCAAATACATGATTGCCAATTATTTTTGATAATATTTAATTTTAATGAGGATCTTTCTGCCAATGTAATTGTTGCTGGAGATGTTAAGAGTATTGTATAGGCTATATAACAATGGGATACATTTTTGACAGATTATTTAAAAATAAAAATTTTAGCACATGCAGGGCTGGTGATTCTTGTGAACAATTTTTCTAAAAGCATTTAACTCTTCCTACAGATCAGTTTTATTTAGATATGAATTTTATTTTAAATGTAAATCATAAATTATTGTAATTTTGCAATTATAAAGTTGTAACTGATATAGTATTTCCTTACATTTTCTGTAACTTGTGAAGGGAGTGCAAGAAAGTTCAAGTGGCTTCAGTGGCTTCAAGCTTTCATATAATTCAAAGTGCCTGTTTATGCATTCTGTCACTGCATCTTCAATTACATGGGAAGTTAATTTTAAATTGCTTTCATCATTAACAATTGCTTTATCTGGAGCTTCATATGGTGATAATGTTCTTTTCCATCAAATGCGATGATATTTAAATTTAATTTCTACCTCTGAGTTTGTGGATAGTTGACTTGCCATGTTGCAGAAGTTTTCAAACTCTGAAGAATTCTCTTAATTCTCTGTCCATATGTGTACTTTTTTTTTTTTTTGGTAATAATTTATGGACAAAGTATATTGCCTGAAAGCTAGCAGTTCCTGTCCCAGCTCTCAAAAACTTGTGCAAACGTCACAAAGATGGGATTTGGGAACAGACCCCCCACAAAGGTCCCAGCGCTGGCATTGTGTTGAGTCCCTTTTCTGTCCTACCACTGTTGCCACCAATGATGCTTCTCCACTGCTTTCTCT